TTGCACAACCAAAAATTTTAAATATTTCATATTTTTATGTGGAAGTACCAAGAGCTCTAGTTAAATTCAGTATACTCATCAAGGCGCCGACAAGTACTTTTTCCGAAGCATATAATATGCCGCCCACTGTTGCTGTTACAGGCTAGAAATTAAAAATTGAGATACAATGAAAAGGTGATACACATGCAATATCCAAATAAGCAAATACTTACACCGAGCAGATATAATGTAATCGCGATTACGCGCTGCAGAATCACGATTACAATAGACAATCCCGTCAACATGCCTAGCAGTGTGATTAAGGTCAAAACCTCAACTAAGCGCACAGCTACGGACATTTTGTCTTTCGCAAAACCGAAAATTTATATGCCTTTTCACTCGTTTTATTTTATAAATTCAAAATGTGTTTTGTTTTTTTTTTAGATTTTCTGACTTTTTCTTTCATTATTTTTAATAATTTACTCTCATAGCAACTTTGATCTTGCTAAATTTTTGGATATTTTGCTTTATTATTTATTCTGTCGAAACGCTTTTGAGTGGATTATGTTCAAGCGAAAATGTCGAAAACGAATTCAAGAAGCTTGGCGAACACCATTACCTGGGATATAGAAAAATGCAAATGTTAATTTGTATATACAGGCATACATATCGCACACCGTCTTCAAAAGAGTCACAACTCAAAATTTGGCATTTTTGAGATTATGTGATAAAAATGTACAGATCTTCTATTTACCTTTCAGCGACAGCTGGATCAAATTTTTGTTAAAATTTGTTAAAAAAAAAAAAAATTATTATCATGTGCTAAGAAATAGTTTTTCGCATTTTCTGACATACGTATTATTTTGAGTTGTGACACTTTTGAAGACGGTGTGCGAGATATAGCTAGCTTAGAGCGAAAAATTGCTAAGTCTACTTTTTGTAAAAACTCATATTTTGATGTAGGAAGCAAGAGAAATTAAAAAAGGCATCGTTTTCTAGACTTGTTTTATTTCTTCACGTTTATATTCGATGAAATGAAAATTTGCCTAAGCTACATATCGCACGTTTAATAATATAGAGATGTAACTCAACATTTCCGTTTTTGGAGATTTCATTATCTAATTAATAAGCTTGATAAGAAGAATATGTTGAGGCTAACAGATAACCAAATTTCCCAAATATGGCGAAGATATGTGTATCTGTCTTTTAGTATACCAACTGTATGAATTGATAAAAGTTTGATTCAAGGATGCATTGTAACGTTAATTTTAGCGTTTACCAAAAAAAGCAATCGTTTCTGTTGAAACGATTCTGTTGTTATCGTTTAGGTAATTCTCAAAATAATTCTATTGTGGTTTTGAACGAAAAGAAATTCGATCGTTAATGCTGAAGCTGTAGCATACATTTAGGTGCTAGGTGTTAATAGTGAGCTGGCAATGGCATACAACAACATTTTTTCGTTGATTTATTTTGTTTCGATGTTAACGATTGATGATTTATTTCGTTTCAACGTTGATTGAGTTTTGTTTCGTTAATTCAGCTCCGAAACGAAATCGATTCATATAGTTTGTTGAGCATCTCTGCTTTGATTGCGTTTTTTTTGAAATTTTGAAATACTTCGTTATATTATTAAACTTACGATATAATTTTAAAATTAATACGAAAGATTTTAATTAGCATAGAATCTTTTTGGTTCGTATGGAGTTTTACTTTGCTTTAAACATGCAAAATATTTTAGTCAAAGTTTTGGAAAATACTTATTGAAAATGGCTATTATTTTTTCGTTTCCTGTAAAATTTCTAAAATTGGACTTAACAGCTTTTCACTCTAAACTAGCGATATGTACATATCTATAACTGAGTGGAAGATGGATCTATCTCGGCAGCCAGTTCGAATACGCCCGAACTCAGAAAACTTTTCAAGAACGCCCTACTTCAGAATTGGCTGCCGAGATATCGCACACCGTCTTCAAAAGAGTCACAACTCAAAATAGCACTTTTGTCAGAAAATGCGAAAAACTATTGGGCAAGGGCGACTTTACCTTAGGTTTTTTAAACAAATTATAACAAAAATTTGTTCCAGCTTTTGCTGAAAGATAAATAAAAGCTCTGTATGCATTTTTAGCGCATAATCTCAAAAATGCCAAATTTTGAGTTGTGACTCTTTTGAAGACGGTATGCGATATGCAGGTCGATTGTTGTTGTAGCAGCATACAAGTTCCCCAAAGAGTTTTTGAGGAGAGTTGCTCGAGTAGGTCGATCTTCCACTCAGGTGTCGATATGTGCATGTAAGTGATAATATAATTACACACTCACCAAAGTGTCTGCAATGATACTAAATGATTTCATCATTATCGTCGTGATTTCTTCAGGATCATAAAACTGAAGTATTCGAAATACAACCTTTAATGACATAAAGAAATGTTAGCTCTACTTTTTGGTTTCCAAAGTCTGCAATTGTATTACTCACAATAGCAGAAGCTATAATGAACAATGGCCAAATGACAGCTATTACCAGGCGCATAGCCCATATTATTGTATACCAAGCAATAAGGAATAACCCTATGTAGGCAATGATTGTACCGTAATCGTTAGGCAAATTCATGTTTTTCGTTAACCATTCATAGAGTACACAATGCAGCGGTAAATCCTGAAAATTACAAATCACTTATAAATCAGCCCTTTGGAATTTGAGTTCAGTTTACTCACCGTCCAATTGCCAGCTTCAGTTGATTGAAAAGGCGAATATGACATTTTTATTTCAGAATTTTGAAGAATTTAAATTTGAAAATTTGTTTGAAAGATTGTCGCTCAAAATTTCTGTGCTAAATTGGTCTGTGTCGCTTTTCTACAATGAGTACAAACTTGATATTTGTATTGAGAAGTTCGATAAGTATCATTTAAGCGCTCAGTGGGGTCGTGAATGTAAATGTTGGTACTGTAGTATCGGACTCTGTGTAATTTAATTTAATGACGTGTTTTTTTACTTTCAATTTATTTACTTATGTGGAAACAAAAAAAAATGGAACTGTAAACAAACAGTTAGGCGCGCAAAACTATCGATGACACTATCGATAGTATCGATGTTTTTTATTTTTCGCTACCATCGATTGTTTTTTGGTTCTATCGACAGTCCGACAGACAATTGATTCAGTATTTATTTTAGTTTTATTTCTTATTTTCTTTTAATTTCTTTTAACATCCAAGTTGAACTAAAAATTTGGTTGCTACTCTTTTAAAAGAGGAATGAAAAATTTCGAAAAGCACGGAAAACCTTGCATCTTTTAAAATACCGCTTACTCCAGTAAACAAACTGATACAAATTAAGTTATACCAAAACTTTCAATATTTTCTACTCACCACTATTTACGTTTTAATAAAAGGTTAATAAAAAGCACTACTTTTCAGTTAAAAAAATGGTGTCTTGTTCTTAAAATTCAATTGATGCTGAGTGCTTTATATATGACTTAGGATATCTAAAACCGCAAATATAAAATTTCAAAGTGCCCAATTTTTTCCATTTTCAATTCATTTCAAATTTTCAATAACTTTACTTCTAACTTAATGGTTATACAATAGAAAAACCTGTGCAGTAGTTTACAAGGGTATCCAAACGTCTTTCCGAATATATATGTAAAGAAATATTCATACCAAAATTGAGCGAAAATCATATAAATACGATACTATTGACGATATATCGAGAGTTTTGAAAATAATATCGAATATTATCGACGGTCTGCCTATCGATAGTTTTGCACCTCTACAAACAATAGAACTGCAAGTTTCTCTAGCTTGGATTTCTTATTTTTTACAACTATCGAGTGTGTCTGGACGCTTCTTATTTTTTTCATTACAGTTGAACTATCTTTTTGTATATCGCATTTGTAAATAAATCATAAAGCCTGTCCCCGTACTCTAAGATTTGCAGGATTGGCAGGTTTTACAGGAACAGCTGTTCTCGCCTTTAATACGCCTTATATGTACGAGGCGTACGGGAACGACTTTGGACTAAATCCTGCAAAACCTGCAAATCCTAGACGGTCTGGAACGCACTAATAGTGAAGAAAATAACTAAAACTAAACTGAAGCAAAAAACTGGGGTTCCCCCTCTTCTCCGGCAATAAACAACCAGAAATAAACTAAACTTTTAAATTAAAAAAGTACCCTAAAAAGGGAAACTAATGTCATAGATAGTAGGACGCAGTTTATAAAAAATCGTCACATCAAAATTGGGCGCCAACTTCATACGATACTTTCGACGACATGTCGATGTTTTTAAAACTAATTTCGAATAGTATCGATAATCCGATCATCGATAGCTATGCAACTGTTCAAGCTTGTTTTGACTTTTTTTTCATTTGACAAAACATGTGATTCCAAGAGCTGCCAATGCTCTAGAATTTGGCACCAACGTCAATAGATGTGATTGTTATACCCAACACAAATAATTGCCTAGGAGTCGAATTCCCCCATATGCAATATATATCGTCACTAGACACGAATAAAGGCGTGAGCTCAAAAGTTGACGGCAAAAAAGACGCATAAAAATACTTAAGCGTCAAAGACGCTTAGCACACTTCGCCGAAGTTTTTCATAAGCATCTTTTTTAGCAAAATTTCTTTTCGCGACTTTTTTCGCCATCAAAACACTAGCGCGCCTTTATTCGTGTGACGATGTAATGAGCGTTGGACTTCTACACTTTAAAGCCGGAAAATTCGAATGTACCAACTCCAAAAGTACTCCCAAATATTTTGTCTTACAACAAAGTACATACGCTTATAATTATTTGCCCTTAGTACCGTTTCACACGGTCCGATTGCGAAGTAACTGGTAGCCGGTAAGCCGGAGTTTCTGTTGCTTTCACGCTTGAAGACTTCAGTTATTTCTATATCGCTGAATATTTTACAAACTTTTTTTCAACATGTAATCAAGTTCAAAATCACTATTGAAGGTGGCAGGAGCGAAAGCTTTTATTTTAAACAATGTGAATCTGCAGTGTCAGTAAATAGTTAACCGGCACTCGACAGCCGGATCCAGCAAAGGGAACTCGGCTCCAACCGGGGGTCTGAGAACAACACAACACCATGCAGTTCACGTTTAAAACCGACTGGAGGTTAACCTAGAAAGTGTGAATCGGCACTTATTCTGCCGTATTTGTATCTGGCCTAGGACTTTCATTCCAGCAGCATTTTTCAAAAATAAGTCTAAATTTGCTGTATTGTGGAACGATTTTCCGTCATCCCTTGTCAAATTTGGTTTGGAGATAAACCGGTTTTGGCGTTGTGCCATCTTCAGTGTCATTTTTCGTTCTGAATCAGTCTCCAAACCAAATTTGACAAGGGATGACGGAAAATCGTTCCACAATACATCATACTCCTACCCTGTCGGAAACACAAACAACCAAAAAGAATCTAAATTTGCCTTTGACGTGGTTGCTAACGAGATAATAGGAGGAACAAGTGTCGAAATAAGGGTGAATTTCTCAAAAGTAATCAAAAGGTAATTAAATCGGAATAAAGAGACTTATTGCGATGAAAATTGCTTTTTCAATCGCTGAGGAAACCACTCAACATTTTCTATTTAGCCGAGTCAGCTTCCGACGACGGATGATCTCGGAATGGTGTTACAGAAATATTGCTATAATAATCATTATTTTTTTGTTTTTGGTTTAAGCGGCAAATGCCTTTATTTTCACACTCATTAAATTGAAATTACACAGTTTAATAATTTTATCAATAAAGTTATTTATCATTTCGGTGTGATAGTTTCTCTACTGCATTTAGGCATATAGTTCACATTTTCCATACATATATGTATACATATGTAAGTATATACTCAATGCATCTAATGAATTTCTTTAATCCCCTTTTATGCGATGCGAGAGATTGATCTTTTTGTAACTTCTACTTTGAATTTGTTTTGTTTCCTAAATTTTCCACTTATTTCTTTTTATATATTTTTGTAAATTTACCTTAATGTTAAACTTAAAATTTTCAAATACCATTGTAACGTGTTTTGTAATATTGTTATCAGTTTGTTGTTGTCAATGTACAGGTTTTTCTGCATAATGAATGGTGTTTATGCTCATATTAGGTGCATTCCAGATGCTTCACGATTTGCAGGTTTTACAGGATTTGCAGGAAAAGGTGTTTTCTTAATTCATAAACCTTATGAAATGTGGTTGTTGTTGTTGTTGTTGTTGTAGTGGTCACCTGCAACGGCTTCCTGTAAAACCCTGCAAATCGTGAAGCATCTGGAGCGCAACTATTGCGTCTCCTGTACACTTTTTAAATCAGTGTAAGCACTATAACAAAAATTTGAAACTTAAATCTTAAAAATGATGAACGTTTCCGCTTTATCGAAAAATACTACGCAAAAGAACGCAAATATGTTTAATTAAAAACGTAAATGTACAGCCTTTTATACGGTTGCAAGCATTTCGCAGAGACTCGGCAGATATATGTACATATATCCTGGGCACAGTATATCATATTTTGAAATCGGTTGCTTCGACGCTTATATATGTACATAGTACAATTCAATGCTATTAGAAAGTACAAAACTAAATAAGCCTATGCTCAATGAAAATTCGAAATAATTTGAATTTAACTTTTGCAGAGGACAATTTACGTTCGCTGAGGTCTTAAATTAAGAAAATGTCATTAAATCACACAAACAAATCAAAAGTTATTCAAACCGTTTCACTATCGTCACCTTGGTATATAATATACATACATACATATGTATTGTACTCTTTTGGTTGCCGCATTTTTGATTTTTTTTTAAATGCATTACAAACCTAGACAATGGAGTTATACCTTGCCACTTTAAGCGAGGATATAAAAAGGAAAACTCATATATATATTTATATTGAGCCATCATCACTTGTTGAATTGCATTTACTTATTGATGGACAGACGTTCGACGCTTGCAAGCAACTCATCCGCTGTCTGTGAAACAACTTGATCTTGATCGTCGCTGGTACTCAAATTCTGCAAACGTTGCTCCAGCGCAGATAAATCTTCCAGTTCACGTTGTTGTTTAACCATGTAGCGCAAAATAAGCGTTGTTAGCATGCACATATCTTCAAGTATTTTGGCGGACTCGGGAGTAGGACGGTCGTAGCGTGTGCGTAATAGCCTCAACTTTGCCTCTGCCAATTCCAGTGGGGTTTTACCACTGCGATCATACATATGCACACTGGCACCGCCCTGCAGAAGTACACGCACCACTACGTTAAAATTATTAGAGCTGGCCGAAATGACGGCAAGATGCAGTGGCGTATTGCCTAAAGAATCCACAACATTTGGGTTAGCCCCGAATTTCAGTAGCTGTTGGACGATTTGTATATAGCCACGGCAAGCGGCCAAATGTAGTGGGCTGCGTTTATATTCGTCAGCCGCATTCGGATCCGCTCCCGATTCTAATACACGAGTTAGTAATTCAATATTGCAGGTGGTAGCAGCGGTACGTAGTTTACGACCATTTGACTCTGCTAAAATGTTGTTATAGTTCGAACGCAAGCGCTGCTTACTACGTGTACGTAGCCGCATTTTGAATTGCGAGAGATGACTTCCTGATGGCAGGTTGCTCGGATGAAGCAAGTAATCCGAATTTAGGGGCAGTGGTGGCAAGTGTGGTAGCGCAAAATGTTCCCCGCGATTCAGTTGGAATGCATTCGGACTGAAGTTGGGCCACTCATGTGTGTTGGGCGAGGACGTTGGGGTGGGCGGCATTATGGCCGGTGGAGGTGTAATGTCAATAATTTTAGTCATACTGGTGCCAATTCCCACCGATAAACCATTTCCAATATTAACGGCGACACCACTGACGCCATCGTTGCTATCATTACTAGTCTCTACGCCGGAATCATTCGCGGCCATTGCGTGTGTGTGTACCTTGCGCTCTGCGCTTTGTGATATAAATGATACGTTTTTCTGCTCTCAACTGCACGTTATATAAAGCTTTAGTAGTGATATTACAAATATTCAGATATTTTCGTTTATATTTGGAA